AGCCATCAAGCTAATTAGCTGGAATCAGAGTAAAAGTTTATCTGTAATCACTGCCATGGTTCTCCATTTTCAAAAAAAAATCAATATAGGACAAACACATCATCCATTGTACCATTTGTAGAATGAAATGTCCACCAGTGACAACTGTTTTAGATTCCACTTTTGATCTCATCAATACTCTTCTAATTTGTTATAAAACTTTGATTTATAATGAATTAGGGCTATTCTTAGGCCAGAAAAAAAGGCTGCTTTATTTTAGTGGAACAGTATAGAAAAAAATTGAATAGTGCACATAAATGCAGGTTGTGGTCTTATGGGCTGGAATCATGGGGAGCGACCAATGGCAGCAACAGATGTCAGTCATCGCCAGCTGGTTGAAGCCCAACTCACAGGACACGATTGCGACAGCAGCATTTTGAATCACACTTTTGGGTCACTGTCTCAAATAAATTTGGTTAGATTTCATTCGAGGTTGGGAAAAAAACTGACTGGTGTGCATTACCACCACCAGCTGATACTGAGAATTTGATTGTATATTATATATATATGAACACCTGTTCATTTATATATTTATACATTTGCCAAACAAATGCTTTTCTAATAAGGTGTTAGAGAGAATTGCTGTTTTAATGCTAAAATTAACGCTTTTAAAACATGTACAAAGCTATTTATTGTAAAGAATTTGATATTTTTATGCATTACTGCTGCTTGTGCTAATGCTAATTATTTAGAGGTGTAGTCTAACTGATGCATTCCATTAACATGACTGGTTCTGGCCTTGCAATGGAAACGTTAAAAAACAAGAAAACTGAATAGGACAACAGCTAAATGCATAATACTTTTAGATTGAGATCAGGCATAGTCAAGAATATTTAATAGCACAATATTTGACACGATGTTATCAGCTTTTTTTGTGGTTACAAGTAAATTTCTAGGGTGAGTGGCATTTTGATAAGCAGACTAATCTTTCTGTATTTTTGTTGATTACACAACCTGTTTTTTGGGTTTCCTATTTTGACCTAGACATGATTTGTTTTCCCTTTCCTTTTTCTTATTTGTTTTTCATTAAATTCTGCAGTCAGAAATCTTTGGGATTTGCAAACCAATAAAAACATAAAAGGCTCAGAGTGAGCTAAAGAGGGAAGAAAATCTTGTCCTGTGCATTATGCCTTGTTCATCATCTAAACTCTTTACAAGCTCAAAATGCATTGATTTTCCCCATCCTCCTACTGATGTAGGATTCAGATGGCTCACAGATGAGTTTAATGCATTTATATAAGTGGCTTGTAAATGAACTTCAATATATTAGACTCAAATGAAAAATTGCAGACTGAGTTCAACTTTTTTTCTATAAGAAAAAAAAGTTGCCTTTCTTTTGCTTCAAACTTGGATTGGACTGAAGTTTTCTGAAAGGAGTACACATTTCATTCTGTTAAAAAAAAACTAGATTTGACGTCTCCAAATCAGACAAAGAATGACCACCAAATCAGTAAAGGTGAAGGTCTTTTCACTGAGGGGATTCATTTAGTGGTGAAATAAAGCTTTGAAGAACTTTAATAGTAAATTAGACTAAAACTCTCAACAGTACAGGCACTTAAACACTGAAAACAGCAAACACTCCTCTCATTACAATATACTCTTTGGATAATACCACATACCAATGTAAAGATTGAGCTTTTAGCTTTACTTTAAGGGTTGCGTGGCTCAGATGTGAACAATGGAGGTGACTTTAAAAATAATGTCCTCTTTCTGTATTCTGCGACCACAATCGCCACTGAAGATGCAGTCATCATTTCAACATTGGTAAAAGAAGTCGAATTAGCTTCTGAATTATTAATAATAGAGCAGTGCTTCAGGAACAATGGGCTGTATTTTTCTCAAAGTTAAAAAGGGACAAAGTCACTTGTCAGGGGACATTATGGAAAATGTGCTTGATTATCAGACGACCTTAGAAAATGGTGTTGCCAAAAAGAAATCTATGATAGGAAACAGTTACATCACTAAAGGAGAGGGACAATACTAAACGATGTGAGTTTGCCAATATACGTGACAGACAGACGCTTGATCGTTATCACTTTTTCATAAACTGATCCATCAGCTTCCACAGAAATAAATCGTACCACATTTCTTGTAGTCATCAAAAGAGAAATGCGTGTTCTATTAGTTTTGAAAATGAAAAGTGTGTCCCCTTCACCATCGGATTCAGACTCTTTAGGTGGCTGATTTATGCCCTCTCACTTCTGTAGACATGCAAGATTGTAATTAGTGGAAACAAGCCCCTTTTCTATTGTTGACTATTACAGTTTCCTGTTTCATAAGCAGCAGGGATGAGCTATATTACTAAATAGAACTCTATTAAAAATTAAACTAGATGGATGCAGGAAGAGCCAATCAAACAAGTCACTGCAGTGTTTCTGGCCCTTTGGGCCTGTGTATCTCTCTGACAAAAGAACAATTTCACTTTTAAGCTCTGAATTCGAGATAGATGGGTTAAAAGCTGAGGTGCTAAATGAAATATGGAAATCCATGCCCATGAATAATTGAGAAGACACAGCTTCAGAACCCTTCAAATACTTATCAAAAGCAAATTTGTTCTCATCAATATTTAATGTTAAACTGAAACCAAAATGTATTTGATTCATGGAGTTGACAGCTATCTGCTTCGTACCAGAAAACCCCTCCAGCAAGGAGCAACCAGGAACTGTATTTGGAGATAACTGCTTAAAAGTTGCTCAGCTTCAGACTTTTTAAAAACAATTTTTTTAAAAGATGTGTGCTAAATAAACGTTCCATCAGAAGAGGTTATACTTTGTTTTTTTATTTATGCACATGCCCTGATGGACTGTCAAGAGTAAGGTAGTATCTTATTAGCTTTATCAGTTATGTCAAATTGCCAAAGCAAAATCTTATATTTCACCAAAATAACTCAAAACACTTGTCCATGCCTTTATCATCAATGGACTGGACTGCCACAACTTATTTTTGTGTTGGCCTTAAACAATCATCTCTCTATCACCAACAGTTAGTCCAGAAAACTGCTGCACATCTTTTAACAAGTACCAGAAGGCCAGTTCTCTTAGGGCTGGGCGATATGGCTGAAAAATGCATCACAATGTAAGTGTTAAATGTCAGTCATTATCAATGGATGGATAGAATATTAGTGAAAAACTTTTCTCGAAAATTGTAGGTGTGTAATTAATGTAGGAGATATGTTTGTCTATATGAATAAGGTATAAACTACCTAAAGCCTACAAATAAGGACCTGGAGGAAAAAAAGGGCTGATTAATCCTGCCAAACTGGTGAAGTGACCTTTCCTCTTTTATCCACAATTTCCTCTCGAGCTTTTTCACTCTTCTCCTTTTACTTCACGTCATTCTTTTCTATTTTATATGACACGATGGTGAAACATAAAACTGCTACTGCACATGTTACTCAACATGTTGCTAGCTTACCAAAACATGAGGGAGATAGTTGATGCCAACAACCTTGCTTAGCTGGGTCATGAGAGGATGAGCAGCTAGAACGTTTCTTCTGCCTACATCCCCCAGAATGAGTTCAGTAAAGTATCAACATTTTATCTGACATATTTTCTATTGATAATGATTTATTTGTATATTGTGATAGATATTATTGTTTTTTATTGATATGATCACATGTCTTTCGTGATATATATTATTATTGTTGTATTGCCCATTCTCTTAAAACAGTCTTACATTTAGACTTGCAAATGTGGTGAATCTTACTTTTGTTGCAGTTTTAGAAAATGCCTTCAAATTGTTCTCCATTTATTACAGGTTTCTGTCAGGTAAAACAAAGCAATTACCATTACCATTTTCTCACAGCACAAATAGACAGTAATATATTCATAAATCACACAGAGACTTATTTTGTTTATGTACAGCAAACTTGTAATGTTTGCCTTCTTGAAGACATTTAACTCAACTGCCTGCACATCTTCCTGTATTAGAACTTTATTGTCTGGGGATTCTGCATCCTTTAAAACTCAAACAAAGCTCAGGTGTTCATACCTTCTTAGATCATTGTCATTTATCTGTCCCATCGTCTGCTAGCAAAATTAAACAAAAAACAGTAAAAGCAAACTTCACTTAACTTTGGTAGACAGATAAAGCATGTGCCGGATGAGAATTTAAACATTTCTAGTATAGAGCTAAATCTTTTGTATTCAAAATTCATAGTATTTTTTACATTACCTCTCTAGGCTTTAGGTAGTTTATGCTTTATTCATATAGGCAGACCTATCTCCTGCATAAATTACACACCCACACTTTCCGAGAAAAGTATTTCACTAATATTCAATCCATCCATTTCCTTTACTTACTTCTCCTTTTTCAAATCACATGGCAGCTGGTGCATATCTGCAGCAATCACTGTGCAAGAGGCAGAGGAGAACATGCAGACTCCATCCAAAAAGAAGCCAAGCCGAAATGCGATCTTGTGACCTTCTTGCTAAGAGGCCACAACCCGTTTCACTAATATTCTCCACCTGAAACCGTTCGGTGATGAGTATAAGCAAAAGGTAAGGCCAGCGGCTGTATTTTCAACTGAGCATTACTTGTGCTGCAGGTGTGGATGGAGGGGTTAGGCTGAGGTCAGAGTAGGCTGAGGTGGTCCATCTCCAGCCTGGTAAAATAACAGATTTCCCACGAGAGTGAGAGCCAGTCAGACGAAAACAGACATATAAACTACTGCAGCGTAAAGTAAAGGGTCATCCGAGCCAGCTACTACACACAGGAGGTGAGAGGGTCGGCAGGCTGGTGGATGGATGTGGTAGATGTTTGTGTGTTTGACTGAACACAGGTGTGTGTGTGTGTGTGTGTGTGTGTGTGTGTGTGTGTGTGTGTGTGTGTGTGTGT